GATTTATTTGGTTTGTTCATTCTCAAAATACAGGATTTTATCCTAGGTTTTCCAGGTTCTCCAAAAATGTAATATTTACACTTCTGCTGTATTTTTCATTGTTGGAGGAAGTTTCTCATTCAAACTGTTATCTTAAGTTGTTTCAGGAAAAGAAAATCCCTGAAAGAGTTACCACACTGGTATAAGAAAGATGGATATTCAAAAGTAAAGGGTGCATTTTATAACTTTTTGTACTGGTTAAAACTGTAATCTACTAAACAAGAAAATATAAGCACCTGAAACATATTTGATAGTCTGCCAAACATTTTTGTAAAAATCTGTTGTTGAAACATGTTGTAATCAACTGATCAAAACTGGTTTATTACAGCAGTAAAACAGGAAACAGCTTCTGAGTTTTTACTTTCACTTATAGCTGTGACACGGTAAAAACAGCAGAGCTGATCCTGAAGTGTGAGACTAAACACAATCTTAATTTATTATTCTGGACTCTCAATCATGTTGATTTTGCTGGGTGGATCTGATCTCAGATGTGAGCCTTCAGGAAGGATTACAGTGTGTGGGGAATAACAGACTGACTGAAGGTAAGACTGAAGGCAGACTGTCGGTAGATCGTCTGATTAGTGTTTTGGTTTTTCATTTTTATTAGACAGATGATCAGAACATATGTAGATTCGATTGGAATCAGGTGGATGAACCAGCAGCTAAGGCCTTGGGTCTACATTTTCTTTACTGCATGTCGTCACTCAGCCTTCCTCCATTTTGAATGCAGCATCGGCCATTATAAAGCCAGAACTTTCCTTCCACTGACGTCTGATATTGTTTGAGTCTCTTCTGATATGTTTGCTATATGATCAATCAGACTTGCAGATGATATTCCATGGTTCTATTTATTACTGACAACCTGATGTGGATAATCCAGGTCCAAAAATTAAAAGCACTGCCTTGTTTTCCTTCCTCCTGCTCACTTTACCAGGTGATTAGCTCCTACTCATTATTCTGTGTTGTGAAAATGGAAATGCAAATGGTTGGAACTGATTTCTGTACAGGCTTTTTACTTTCTGGACCTGGATTATCCATCTACTGAAAAATGAAAACTGCTGTCAGATCTGGAAGTACAGAAACATTCATGTTTTCTGTTCATAGAAATAATCGTTTTATA